GTGCCCAAATCCATCACATACAGTCAATCCTGGAATCATACGACCATGATCCCAAACCTACTACCATTATTCTTCATGTAGGCCTCAACAACCGTGATCAGCTACCAAAGACCTCCTTTAACCAAGCCCAGAAATTAATCGCCACAGCCAACAAAACCTTCCCAAACTCCAAGATCCTCTTCACATGTATACCCATTTCAAATAAAATCTCGAAGAAAGCACAACAGAACCTCAGCATGATGATGGAGTCCAGTATCAACAGCGCAACAATCTTACCACCCTACGAAGAAGAATTCGAACCAGTTGATAATCTTCATTGGTCTCCAGAAACAGCATTTATTTGTTTTGGATACACCAGCTTCAAGCATCAAGTCAGTCTTTAAACTAATTACTGGGGATAAAAATACTGAGAGGCCACCACTAGGCCAAACTGTAGTTAACTTGAGCCGCAAAATTCTCACACCCCTTCAGCATTCAATCTTAGACCGTGGACTTAAATTTATTCCAACACCAAAGATAGCTAACTTGAATTATCTCCGACCATCCATTGAACGATTTCAACGAAATCTTAGCTGCACATATTTTTTTCGAAACCACCCCCCACATGGTGCTAGAACAATGTTTATTCCTAAATCCACGTGGACACCCCCTCAGGCCGCCATCCATCCTGAAATATTGAAAGCATTTGCGAGTATGAATAGCCAAACAGTGAACCTTTCCATAACACACGAAAAGCCTAATCTCACACGAGTAGAACGTGAAGCCTTAAACTTACTTAAGACGATAGCATTGTTATTAAAAAGAGTGACAAAGGTTCATGTTGTGTCATTCTGAATAGGGAGGATTACGTTTCAGAAGCAGAGAATCAACTGAATAATCCTAAACATTATGCCATTTTACCGAAACCAATTTTCAAAGAAACTGCTAACATGATTAACAATATTCTTGCCGATTTAGTCAAAACTAGTTATCTCAAACAGAAACAATATGACTATCTGTCTGCCAAACCTGATTGTCGCGAGAGACATTTGTACACTTTGCCTAAAATCCATAAGAATCCAACCAAGGAGTGGTTTATCTCGAATAAAATCCCTAAAGGCCGCCCGATTATATCTGACTGTGGTAGTGAGTCATATGCAGTGTCAGAATACATTGATCATTTCTTACTACCTCTAGCATGTCGACATCGCGCCTACCTTAAAGACACAACCGATTTTGTCAATAAAATAAAAAATCTTCGAGTTCCCTCTAATGCTATTTTAATTTCTATCGACGTTTCTTCTATGTATACCAATATCGATACCACTACTGGTCTAACGGCAGTTCGTAAAGCTTTTAATAGAAACCCAGATCCAAACAGACCCGACGATGCAATTCTACAGCTTTTAGAGATTTGTCTTAGTCGAAACGATTTCACATTTAATGGTAAAACATATTTACAAACTTCAGGGACAGCAATGGGCAAACGATTCGCCCCTTCGTACGCAAACCTTTTCATGGCAGAGTGGGAACGTGAGGTGTTGCCCCTCTGTCCATTTGACCCACTTTTTTACGGACGCTTTTTGGATGACATTTTTATGGTTTGGACTTATTCTATCAAACAGTTTTGGGAATTCTTTGAAATTCTCAACAACCACCATCCTTCTATCAAACTAACCGCAAACGTGAGTGACAAAAGCATAGACTTTCTCGATACCACAGTCTTTAAGGGAGATTCCATAGCAGAAACAAATAAATTGGATATTAAAGTGTATTTCAAAGAAACTGATACTCATCAACTCTTGCACAAGAGCTCCATTCATCCACAACATACCTTTTCTGGTATAATTAAGTCACGACTTTTACGATTTCATCGAATTTATACAAGATCTTCTGATTTCAACCAAGCCTGTACGATTGTTTTCTTAAAACTGAAAGAGCGTGGGTACTCTAAACGATTTTTACGAAACATAAAAAATTCCACCTTGGCACAGATAGCAGCTAAAAACAGACTTTATGCCGAAGTACCTCC